GTTCTATCAGTTCTTTGGTGGAGTATTTAGGGTATACTATATATAAGATCAAGCCATCTGCAAACAGGGTCAATCTTTCTTTCTCTTTCTTTCTGTTTTTGATGTCTTTAACTTATTTTCTTGCATCATTGCTCTGGCTAGGATTTCTAGTACTATGTTAAGTAGAAGTGGCAAGAATAAGCATTCTTGTCTGGCTCCTGATCGTAGAGAAAAAGCTTTCAACTTTTTACCATTAAGTACCATGTTAGCTGCGGGCTTGTGATATATTGCCTTTATTGTGTTGACATACATTCTTTTATATATATAGTCATCCCTCAGAATCTACAGGGGATTCTACAGGGGATTGGTTCCAGCATCCTTGTGTATACCAAAATCTGTGGGTGCTCAAGTACCTGGTATAAATTCTATAGCATTTGCATATAACCTACATATATCCTTCCATATATTTTAAATCATCTCTAGGGCTGGGTACGGTGGCTCATGCCTGGCCAACATGGTGAAACTCCACCTCTACTAAAAATACAAAAATTAACTGGACATGGTGGTGTGTGCCTATAATCCCAGCTACTCAGGTGGCTGAGGCAGGGGAATCATTTGAACCTGTGAGGCAGAGGCTGGAGTGAGCGGAGACTGCACCACTGCACTCCAGCCCCAGCAATACAGTGAGATGCCATCTCAAAGAAAAAATAAAACATAAAAATAAATAAATCATCTCTAGATTACTTTTAATATCTACTATAATGTAAATGCTAGGTAAACAGTTATAGAATATGGTTTTTATTTGCACAAGTTTTATTGCTGCATGGTTATTTTTTAAAATTTTTTTATCTGTGGTGGGTTAAGTCCACTAATGCAGAATCTTTCAATATGGAGAGTCAACTGTATTCAATTTATTGAGAGTTTTTATTATGAAGGATGTTGAATTTTATCAAATATTTTTTCTTTATCTATTGAGATGATCATATGATTTGGGTCCTTCATTATGTTAATGTGATATATTACATTTGTTGACTTTTGCATTTTGAAGCACCTTTGCATCCCAGGGATACATCTCACTTGATCATTGTATATGATCCTTTTAATGTGCTATTGAATTTTGGTTTGCTAAAATTTTGTTGAGGATTATTGCATCTACATGTATTAGAGCTACTGGCCTATAATTTTCTCATAGTGTCCTTTTCTGGCTTTGGTATAAGGATCATGCTGGCCCCTTTATTTATATATTCTTAATGGTATCTTTTACAGCACATACATTTTTAATTTTGATGAAGTACGATTATTTTTTTCTTTTGTTTCTAGTGCTTTGGGTGGTGTGGTACCTAAAAAGACTCTCCCTAGTCCAAATCTAGAAGATATACTTTTATGTTTTCTTATAATAGTTTTATAGTTTTAGCTATTACATTTAGGTCTATGATTCATTTTGTTAATCTTTGTTATGGTATAAGAGTCAAGCTACATTCATTGGCATATAGACATTCAGTTGTTCCAGCACCATTTGTTAAAGAGATTATTCTTTCTTCATTGAATAGTCTTAGTACCCTTGTTGAAAATCAAATCAATTGAGCATAAATGTAAGGGTTTATTTATGAAATGTCAATTCTGTTTCATTAATCTATGTTTCTCCTTATGCCAGTACCACAGTGTCTTGATAACTGCAACTTTGTAGTAAGTTTTGAAATCAGAGAGTGTATCTCTTTCATTTTTGTTCCTCCTTTTCAAGACTGTTTGACTATTCTTGGTCTCTCGCATTTCTGTATGAATTTCAGGATCAGTTTGTCAATTTATTCAAAAAAGCTACCTAAGCTTTTGATATAATCTGAACTAAATAGTAGATTAATTTGAGGACCATTGGTATTTTAAAATAACAACTATTAACAATATTAACAATTATCATCCATTAACATAGCACATCTTTCCATTTATTTAGGTCTTCTTTAATCTTCCCCAACAATGTTTTATAGAGTATAATACATGAAGGTTTCAGACTATAACAAATTTCTTTAGTTAAATAAATTCTTAAGTCTTTTAGCCTGTTTGATGCTATTATAAATGAAATTATTTTCTTAATTTCATTTTATGGTTGTTCATTGTTAGTGTATAGACCTAACAGAGTATAAGATCAATGGACCTTTGTGACCATTGATCTTATACTCTGCAAACGTGCTAAATTCTTTAGCTCTAATAGCTTCTTTCTGAGGGTGGTTCTTAGTATTTTCTATTTATAAGTTTATCTTATCTGCCAATAGATGTAGTTTAACTCCTGGATTTTCAATATAGATACCTTTTATTTACTTTTATTGCCTAATTGCCATGGCTAAAACCTCCAGCATGGTGCTGAATAGAAGTTGAGAATAGACATTCTTGGTTTTTCCCCAATCTCAGGAAGATTGAACTATTTTTTCTTTAATCAAGGTAGAGAAAGAGTTACTTTGCAGCCCTTCATAAGATACCTACTTGCTTTTTTTATGAAGAAAAAATGAGTAATAAATATTAATTTATTAATTAAAAATCATTTGTTTAGAAGTTCTGTTTACTTTCTTATTTAGGGTAAAATATATTCCATTTTATTCCAAATAGGTACAAAGAAAGTTGTACATGGATTTCATCATGGGTCCATAATTTATTCCCTGAGAAGGGTCAAAACGCACAATGCCTTCTCTAGAAAGGTTTTCCTATCAAATTCATACAGATCAGGCTATAAGGCCCTAGACATGTCTTCTCTCATTTTCCATTTTCAATCACCAGTAAAGAAATCTTGATTCCATACTTGGGCATAATTCTGGATTTAGATATATAGAGTATATTAAACCATTTGACTGGCTGAGATCCTGAAATTTTTGTTTCAGTGTAATTAAAAAAAAAAATTAAAGTATGGTCTGCCTCAGAGGGAGGAGATATTCCTAAATTTGCAAGCCCCTAACACAGTCTTTTATTAGACTATGAATATGTTTACAGCGTATGACTTGTTAATCTTTATAAACTGATATATAGGAAAGTGCCTGATGAAAACTAGATGTTCCATTGATATTTGTTAAAAGTATAAATGAATCCATGAGCAAATGAACCACTATTCCCAATGGATCCTTCCAGGTGACTTCTTGGACAACATGAGCTCCTCAAACATTTTCAGTAGCTGAATTTCTCTTCAAATGAGATCTCATCAGTAAGCCCTTGTCTCCAGCAACTGCTAAATAGGTTGGAATTAGAAAATACAACATACTAAATAAGCAAGGTAAAGCAAATATGTGACCTGGAGACAGACAAGGGGATGCCCAATGCCCTGTAAAAAAGAAACAAAACAAAAGTAAAAGGAAATACTAATTCTATATAAGGTTGTTCAAAGAAATACTCAAATCCCATATTTACTTTCTTCATTGTAACATTTTTGCTGACAGTATTTTGTCTAATAGTTTTCTAGATTATAATTCAATTCAATATAATTCACATAAAGTCCCCTGTGTAGATATCATGCACGAGGAAAACAAAACGTAACACTATGCGAATGCTTCAAACCCTTGAGCAAAGTTTCAAATTATTTATCATTTGTACATTTCAGGAGTTTAGTTTCAAAAACATGATAGCCTTCTTAGCATATTCTGGTAGGCTGAAAAACATCCCCAAAGGTTTCCAGGTTTTATTCCTTGGAATGTGCAAATGCTACCTAATAAGGTAAAAGAGATTTTGCAGATGTGATATTGAGATGGTAAGTGTGGTGTTACAATTTATATTGGTGTTCATCCAGGGTTCCTGGCTTATAAATCCCATAGTCCTTGATACAATCTTTTGTCACAATGTTGGGTGTGTTAGGCAGGAAACAGAATCTCTCCAACTTCTCCTATCCTCCCTTTCACCTGCCCCAAGGCAGGACTCTAATCTTCTCCAACATTTCTGATTATGGGTGTTAAGACCCTCCCCAGAGAGGGTCATGCCCTATATCCTGTGGAAGGAATGCTGACTTCATGAAACTTCCATAAAAACTCAAGAGGACCACGTTCAGGGAGCTTCCAGATAGCTGAACACATGGAAATTCCTGGAGGGTGGTGTGCCTAGGGAGCGCATGGAAGTTCTGTCCCTACCCCCATGCTCCTCTTGTCTCTTCCTCTGTATCCTTTAGAATAAGCGAGTAAATGTTAAGTATTTCCCTTAGTTCTGTGAACTACTCCAGCAAATTAATCAAACTCAAAGAGGGAGTCATGGGAACCCCAACCTGAAGGCAGTTGGTTAGAATTTTCAGAGGCCCAGAGCTGCAACTGGTGCCTGGAGGTATGGTAGGCAGTTTTGGGGTCTGAGCTGCCAACCTGTGAGATCTGATATTATCTCCAGATAGACAGTATTTAGAATTGAATTGGAGGGCAACCAACTAGTATCTGCTGCTGGATGTGTGGAGGAAAAACTCCCATAGATTTGGTCACAGAAGTATTTTTCTGTGTTGATGATTGGTGTTGTGGTGGTCTGTGGGCAGAGAAAAAACATAGTCAGGGTGTTTTTCCCTACATCGAAAGGTTATCCTAAATTGTCCTCATAGGTCAGGTAGTTTAAGTGTTTTTAAAAGAAGGCATCAAAAGGTTTGCTGCAGAAGAAGAACCCAATGTGATATTGAAGCCAGATGCTATGCCACCAGATTTAAAGACAGAGGAAGAGGCCATGAGCCAAGGAATGTAAGGAATGCAACTCTAGAAATGGGAAAAGGCCAATAAAAGCTTTCTTCCAAAGCCTTTGGAGTGAGCATGGCCCTGACTACACCTTGATTTTGACCTAGTGAAACAGACTTTGAACTTCTTACTTACCTTCAGAACTATCAGAGAATAACTGCATTGTTTTATGCCACTAAGTTTGTAGTTTTGATAAAGTAGTCATAGGGAATGAATTCACATATGTAAATTAAAATTAGTTATTCATAAGCATAATTTACAATCTGTGTTTTGTGAGCCATTATTGAGTATGTGTGATGAGCTGACACTTCACCAGCTGTTTGTGATGATAGAGTGATGAAGTGTTCATGGTCCCTCTCTCAGGGGACACACAGCCCTCTGTGGCAGCATGGATTAGCAGTAAGATAGGTAAAATAGGAGAAGTATAGGACTGACGACATCTATCTTGCTAACAAACATTAAGCAGGTAAGCTCTGCTCCTAGTGGGTTCTAGGGTTTGGGGAGTGGGGAAAGGGCTGCCGGGCAAGACTGCCTGTGGTTTTTCAAAAAGGGTGACATTTCTAATACAAGTTCAGAAAGGTTATTAGGAGTCAACTAGAGAATTAAGTTGCAAATTAAATTAAATTAAAGTCACAGCCGGAGGAAGCTAGATAGGTACAGAAGGCAAAAGAACCCTGTCAATAAATTGTGTATATTGAGATATTCTAGAACCCAGGACTGCTGGAGTTCAGAGTGGGGTGGATGAAAGATGAGGCTTCAGGTATTAAACATGGTTAAAATCAAAACCACAGTAGATATCATCTCACTCCAGTAAAAATGGCTTTTTACCAAAGAGGGAATAACAGATGCTGCTGAGGATATGGGGAAAGGGGAACCCTCGTACACTGTTAGTGGGAATGTAAATTAGTATAATCATTATGAATAACAGTATGGAGGTCCCTTAAAACACTAAAAACAGAACTACCATATTATCCAGCAATTCCAGTACTGAGTATACAACCAAGAGACATAAAGTCAATATAGCAAAGGGGTGTCTGTACTCCCACTATTTTCAATAGCCAAAATATGGAATCAACCTAAGTGTTCATCAGTGGATGAATGTATAAAGCAAATGATAATGACAGGAGGCAGACAAATCCTAAGCAGACAGGGACAGGTCCCCGGTGAAATCTGACCTTGAAGCTGAAGACAGTCCTGGGTAAATCCTTGGACCAGATTGAGAACCTCTCTGCCTATTTGCTGTGCTTTCGTCCGATTGATCCCCACCGTTCACCTATTTTACATATACCTACCCTTTCCTAATTGGTTTTCTACACTTTTGTGCCCACCTTTGAGTGATGCCTTTGTTTTAGCCTCTTTTTGCACACTCAAACCAATCAGTACACACTCCCCATTCTGAGCACATAAAAGCCCTGAACCCAGTCACACTGAGGGAGAGATGACCTGACTTCAGGTGGGGGGCACCTTTGCATCCCATCTCTGCAGAGAGCTATTTCATCACTCAGTAACATTATTCTCTGTCCTTTTCACTCTTCGATTGTCAGTGTATCCTCATTCTTCTTTGATGTGTAGGACAAGAACTCAGGACCTACCAAAAGTGGGGCTGAGAGCTCAGTTGCAGTGGCTGCGGGATAAGCACCAGACTACAAGGCAGGCATAGCCTGGCAGGCTGAGTAGATGGTGTGTCTCCTGCAGCAAAGCTGGCAAAGGGGCCAAGGAAAATCCTGTGTCAAAAATGTGGTGTAGCTGGGCACGGTGGTTCATGTCTATAATCCCAGCACTTTGGGAGGCCAACACAGGTGGATCACCTGAGGTCAGGAGTTCAATACCAGCCTGGGCAACATGGTGAAACCCCATCTCTAGTAAAAATACAAAAACTAGCTGGGTGTGGTGGCAGGTGCTTCTACTCCCAGCTACTCATAAGGCTGAGGCATGAGAATCACTTGAACCCAGGAGACAGTGGTTGCAGTGAGCCCAGATTGCACTACTGCACTCCAGCCTGGGTGACAGAGCTAGACTCCACCTTAAAAAAAAAGTGAAATATATACACAATGGAATATTATTCAGCCATTACACAGAATGAAGTCCTGTCATTTGCAGCAACATTGATTGAACTGGAGATCATTATGTTGAGTGAAATTAGCCAAGCATAGAAGGACAAATATCACATGTCCTCACTTATATGTGGGAGCTATAAAAGGAGATGTCATAAAAATAGAGAGTAGATTGGTGATTAACAGAGGCTGGAAAAAATAGGAGGGATGAAGAGAGGTTGATGAACTGGTCCACATATATACTTAGGAAAAAATAAGATCTGGTTTTCAATAGATCAGTAGAGTAACTCTAGTTAACATTAATCTACTGTACATTTCAAAATATCTAGAAGAGGAATTTGAATGTTTCTAGCATAAAGAAAAGATGCTTAAGGTGATGAATATTCTACTTAACCTGATATGATTATATGAATGTTTCAAATTATCAACAGTATGCAGAAAATATGTAAATCTTGTATACTGATTTAAAAAAAAGGAGGGTAAAATCATGAAGGGCGTGTATCCCATTCTAAGAGGTCTGGGCAATGGGTTGCCATTTGAAGGTTTAAAATCTATGGGAGTGATAATCAGATTTGCCTTTAGGAAAGAACCTTCTCCTTGTAAAGGGAGAAAGGCTGGCAGGAAGAAGGACTGAGTGAGGACAGTGGATGGGTCACCACTGCAGTGAGTCTACAAGAAACGTAAGGCAGCCTGAACTAAGGCAGAGCAATGGGGCTGGAGAAAAATGGACAGAAGAAAGAAACAGCTCTAATGCAGCAACATTATATGAAGTTTTTATCTATGGTCATGTTAAAACAAAAATAGCAAAAGAGGCAAAATCACAACATGAAAACATAGAAACATATTCTTTATCTTGTCAATGTAAATGTCTTTGGCCGAAACACTATTATTCTTCCCCAAGTGGTGAATTGAAGAGCCTTTCAAGGTCTTAGTAAATAAACATAAAGGTGTAAAGGATCTAAGCAATGAGTCATTTGGCAAGAATTTCAGATGACTAGAAAGTTTCTATTTATTTCTGGGAGAGAGGGTATAATATAATTATTCAGTCCCTTCCATGAACTGGACTTATGAAGACTGCTCATAATAGATTAATATGTGTGTCCTGTCTTTGATATCCACAAATCTTTGCCAGGACACTTCATATATAAAATGCTCCTTAGGCCAGTTGCAGTGGCTCATGCCTGTAATTCCAGCAGTTTCAGAGGCCTTGGTGGGCAACATAGAGAGATCTCATCTCTACATAAAAATAAATAAATAAACAGAAAATTAGCCAGTAGTCCTAGATACTCAGGAGGCTGAGGAAGGAGGATCACTTGAGCCCAGGACTCCGAAGTTACAGTGAGCTATAATCATGCTACTGTAATCTAGCTTGGGCTACAGAGGAAACTTTGTCTAAAATAAAATAAAATAAAAATAAAAACAAAATAAAAACAAAATAAAATAGTTAATTTTGAACCTAGACCTGGAATCAGGAAAAAAGCTATCTTAATCACCTTGATTAATAAAGATATAATTTTCAGTCCCAAGCATGTTCTTCCAGCTCAGCCAAAATAAATTTGTTCATATAGAGTTGTAAGAGAAATATTTCAATATGCAAAATTCAACACATACACAGAAAATCTAAACTTTCTAAATGCATTAATATTAAATTCACTTTTCCAGTGATTGCAAACATGTAAATATTTATTCCTTAAATCCAAAAAGAGATTCTTTATGATGATTATTATTTTGCTTTGTCTTCTATCTATACCTACTTATATATTACAGTAAATTAATGAAATTATAATTGTTAAATTGCAAATGCTAAATTACATCTGGATGATATATTAATGAAAATCATTAATTGCCTATCAAATCAATTATAATTTATCTGGAATCAGAAAACAGATTACACTTTCATTTCATAATTTGATGAATGAAAGCTTATTCACATTTTTGTCATTGGATCACTTGAAAAATCATTCCTTCTGCATTCTTCCATTGTTTCAAAAACATTGCTTATCCACTAGTAGCGATGCAATTTCATTACCTCTATTCCCAAACTATACATCGAGGGCAAAATAGAACAAGGTTTTCTGTGCTCTTTGTGTGTTACACAGGTGGCTTCTCTATGGATCTGCTTTTGTTATACACAGCTGTTCTACCCAAAGGGCTGTTAAAACATGTGCATACACTGCACACGCACTTCAGAACTTGTATATGGGCATATGTGTGTTGACTCTTGCCTAAACTAGCCTTTCCATTCATTCAGCCAACAGATACTGAGAACCTGCGTGGGGCCAGAGCCTGGGATAGGTATGGGGGATGGAGAAGTGAACATGATTCAGTCATCAATTTCAATGAACTCTCAAATTAGTAAGAAAAATAGAGATCTACATGGATTTTTAAAAGTTAAATGTAGTCCTAAAAAGAAACACAAGAGTGGAAGAAGGGGAAATACTTCCTGCAACGGGTAGCACCTGATCTTAACCCAGAGAATGAAGAGTCCCATGAGAGGAAGAAAAAGGGCATGCCAGGTGAAGTACATCCTCATGGAAGTCCTTGAGGGTCCAGTTGAGGAGCTGCTATATAAAGAAGAGACCAGGAAGGACTGCAAGCAGGCTGATGGCTTGGACATATTTTCGTGTCAGTGTGATGGCTGATGGCTGCTGGCATGACAGATAGCAGGTGGATAAGTCAAGACAGAATAGCATAACATCAATATGTGCAGAGGACAGCAAAAGGAAAGGAAAAGACGAGACATACTTTGGAGACAAAATTACCAGAACCCGATGATTAAGTCATGTTTTCAAAAATATGTTTTGAAAGTCTATGAAATTTCTGACACGTAGGTGCTGTGGATAAGCAGTTGAAAATAAATAAAAGACATTTAAAAATGTTTCCACTCTTCTGGAACTTTGCAATATACTGGAGGGAGAGACAATAAGCACTCATTTCTAAAAAGTAAATATATAACGTGTCAGTTGGTGATTAAGTGCTATGAAAAAACATAAAGACTGGCAAGGGAAACAGGAAGTGATGAGGTGGATCAATTATTAGAGGAATCGGAAAGACTTGATATGACGGGATATTCAGCAGAGACCCGAATGGAGAGATGAAGGCAGGGCCAGGGAGAGAGAAAATTCAGTGTATTGGCATGCTGAAGTACTTTTTTGTCCTGTTCTTTGAGGGGGGAAAAAAAAAAAAAAACCACTGATATAAGAAACATGGTTGGAAGTGGCTCACCTCAAGAATCTTAATTTTGTCATGGGATATTTTGTGGCCCAATTTAGGTAGTCCCATCACTGGACCTGTTGTCATACAGATGGAGACGACACCATGCACTTTTGCATCAGGCAGTGATGGAACTCATTAAGAGCCAATAGGGGTTGACAGAACATAGAGACAAACTCCATTTTAAAGTTTTTTAAAAAATAAATTGCAATTTAATATTTCTCCTCACCATGATATTCCCAAAGCCAAGCAGACTCGGCTGTGATTATCTATGGTTTGAGTTATCCATAGAATCCATTAGTATGGATAACTCAGAATTTATGCAGTTGTGTTCCCACAGTTACGTGTATCCAATAGGGGCCATATGGAACATATTATGCTTGATGAGGAATAATTATCCTCATGAAGAAGTCTCCCTTATGTCATCGTGGGGAATCCTGCTCATGTCTAAAATGCAAATGGAAGACAAAGTCCAAGTAAAGATTTAAAAGGGGGAAGCACTTACCATTCTTATTGGGAGATCCAGATTCAGGTCATTACCCTGTGCCTCAGTTTGCCCATGATAAAAATGTATTTTTTTTTTTTTTTGAGACAAGGTCTCTCTCTGTTTCCCAGGCTAGAGTGCAGTGGCACAATCTTGGCTCACTGCAACCTCCGCCTCCAGGGTTCAAGTGATTCTCCCACCTCACCCTCCCATGTAGCTGGATTACAGGCATGTGCCACCACACCTGGCTAATTTTTGTATTTTTAGTAGAGATGGGGTTTTGCCATGTTTGCCAGGCTGGTCTTGAACTCCTGGCCTCAAGTGATCCACCTGCCTTGGCCTCTCAAAGTGCTGCAATTACAGGTGTGAGCCACTGCACCTAACCTATGATGTAATTCTTAATAGTGAGCTAATTCATATACATATATATGTATAGTTAGAGGCAGGGTCTCATTCTTTCACAAAGGCTGGACTGCAGTGGCACAATCATGGCTCACTGAAGCCTTGACCTTCCACAAACTCAAGTGATCTTGGCACCTTAGTCTCCCAAATAGTTGGAACCACAGATGCATGCCACCAGGCCTGGCTAATTTTTTATTTTTTCTAGAGGCAAGGCCTCCCTATGTTGACCAGGCTTGTCTCAAACTCTTAGGCTCAAGCAATCCTTCTGCCTATGCCTCCCAAAGTGCTGGGATTACAGGCATGAGCCACAGTGTCCTACTCCAATTCATGGAGAGAGAGAGAGATATATATATATATATACACACACACACACACACACATACACACACACACACGTGTGTGTGTGTGTGTGTATATATGTATATGTGTATATATATATACTTTTTAAAACTACGTCTTTATTAGTAACCATTAAAAGATTTTTTTCCTTTGATAGACAAGTATATGTCATATCCCTAGAGGTGACACAATGAGGTATTTTCACTTGCTATTTAAAAAAAAACCTGTTTTTGAAAATATATACTGTGAAAGTAGATTAACACAAGTATCATAAAAGTTATAAGGCTGCAGTAAACTTTGATTAAAGCACGATTTTCATTTGGTGAAAGTCTCTTAGATTCCCTAATAGCTTTTGCTATGGCATTGCAAATTGGTTGAATTACAAATGTCTCCTCTTGTTTCAAGATGTTTTCATTTCTAATCTGAAATGATTATTTTCTAAATTAAAAAAACTCTCCATAAATTCATGCAAAATTAGGGATGAATGATAGATAACATATAGAAAAGATGCCTTGTGTTTGGAATAATCTTGCCAATTCTATCTCTAAATTACATCTTAAAATTACTTCTGTATTTCTTTATTGCCACCATCCTAGTCTGACCTACCATCATGTCTCTCCTTGATTAACTACAGGAGTTTCCCAGCAGCTTCCTTACCCCTTTTAAGTCAGTCTGTAGACAGTAGTCAAAAGTGATCTTTAAAATCTCTAAATTGGATAACATTACCCACTCTACTTCCAAGCTGATGACTGAAGTTAAATTATATCCATATTCCTTGGCTTGTCTCACAAGATTCCACATACTTCTTCAACTTCACTTCACACAGCTCTCTCCTCACTCTCTATGCTCAAACCACAGGGTTTACTTTTATGTCTAAAACATCTTTCCTAGCTTTTATCTTCTGGACACCCCACTAACTAAAACAACCTTGTTCTGTGCTTTGTGCATCTGTCTCCTTCTTACCCTTCACATCTTAGATTTATGTCACCTCAGTGAAGGCTTCCCTAAAGTCTATCAAAAAATTTTCTATTCAGCATCCTCAGAGCTAATCAAAACTTGAAATTCTTTTTATGTATTTGTTTATTTATATCCCCCACCGGACAGTAAACTCCACAAGTTTCTGACTTCCCCTTAACTGTACACTCAAGTCATAGATGTCCAGGTACATAGCAGATGGTCAATAAAAACGTTTTGTTCAAATGAATGAATAAACCAATGCACACATACAAGCTGAAAAGAAAGATTAGAGTCACCCTAAAATGGGTCCATTACTTTTTTGTGATGTATTTAATGTTTCTGAAAGTCAAATCACTTAAGAAATTAATGTAGACTAATCTAGGAAACCTGTATAAAGCAATAAGAGTATTAATTTAAAAGTCATTAAATCTCATTGTATAATGATATGGGCATATCTTAAATAAAGATAGCTAGTATGCTGGCAATAAAGAAGATCTATCATTTACTTAGTTTGTACACTATAATTGAATTTGAGTTTCTGGTATTACTGAGAACATTTATTAGTACACAAAACCTTGATGACTAAGACCAACATCTACCCATTTATTTCTAGACTTGTTTATTCTTTTTAAAAAAACTAGTAAAAAAAAGAAAAACAGAGCAGGAAATTCAGAAGCTCCATTGTAATGATTGCTTTCAGCCTGTTTCACCAACTTTCACAACAGCTGTATTTAACCTCCACTCCTTTTTCCATACACCCAGATCTTTCAAATTCTCCCAATTAAGGTTCAAAAACAGTATTTTCCTGGATTAACATCTCACAGAACTCTCTGAGATTGTCTCTGTCATTTTCCTATAGTTTTATTCTATTAACTTGGGTATACTTCTACTTTATATAGTGAAACTTTTAAAATTAACTTTTTCATTGATTTTTTTCTCAACTACATTTGAAGACACTCAAGTTCTGATGCCTTCTATGTATATGGTCAGAGCACCAAAAAACAGCATGGAGCATATTTGTTTGTACTTGGCGTTGGCTTTCTCAGTGAAGTGGAGCAGCAGTGTTGACCACCAGCAAACAGGCGGCTAATAAACAAAGGTGAAGTAGAGAATGAAGTGAGTCAGGGATCCAGCACCATCACATTCCAGATAATCATTGAGATGCAGATGTATGCATTTCATCTGTCCATATTTTATGAGAGACAATGTGTTATTGACAAAGGAGAACTAAAACAATTATTATAGAGCAGAGCTATTAATTCTAGACCTGAGAAAAACCTCCCAAACTGTGTGTGAGTGTTCTCATCTGTTACTCTTCATCCATCTCCTTACCAGAGCTGCTGCAGAAGGAGGGGTCAACAGGTCTTCCATTTTTATCAGAGCAGGCTACTGCTCGAAAGCGCATGCCTTCTCCACATTCTTTCCTGTCTCCTTGTACCCGCAGTCCTCGCTGAGGCTCCCTTCTGCCTTCTGGAAGAATGCAATCTGACCAGTTTCCATAAGGTTGGGATATAAATTCATCACAAGGACATAGTTCTGTCTCCACTAGAGGGTAAAGGTCAGCATCCTGGCATTTCTCCTTCTTTCTGCTTTTCCCTGTTCCAACAAGAGACATTGAGATATTAAATGTCTATCTGCTGTTTTGTTAAAAGTCACTCACACTTTTGTATTTGTAAACTTTTAGAATATTAAACCTTAAATAAAATAAAGCCTTTGTTTTCTTCACTCTTTTGCCATGAAAGTAATCCTGAGACAATGAAAACAACTCCCAGAACAACTGTGAAATTCAAGTTAATTTGAAAAAAGTAGAAAATGGTTTAATGTTTGAGAGTGGCATAAAATATTTGGAAGATGTTTGCTACAGCTAGAGAATTCCAGTTAATTTATTTAATATTATTTTCTCTATAGTTTGCTGGAAAAAACATATTGATAACCCTGTCCTCATTCTCCTTGACTAATGATTGCCAGGGAATCAACGAAAGCATCTAAGTGGTTAACTCCCTCTCTTTTTAGTAGAGGTCTCTTGCAATGAGATAGATGGACGAAGTTAAACTCATTTTGGTCTCTGCCATCAGGCAGCTCCCAAACATCTATACAAACAATAAATTGAAATAAATGATCAAGTCATACTGGATAATTTAATCAGAGAAAAAGCTCTTTCATTTTGAGAGATTCTTCTAACTTAAGTATTCTGGAATATGACTTTACCTTACCAATTCACTTTGATGAACCTGTTAGCTGTGGTCTCAACTCTGAGTAAGACAATGCAGTGTCATTTTTCACAGCCGTAAACACTTGGTAATCACGTTTAGTGGATTCTGAATCAGCCTGTAACTTGATTCAACTTTGCTGTCAACACGATTCCTCTAGATTACTAAAAATTTTCCTAGATCTAATAATTCCACCTTTTGTTTTCTCATTAGTTAGTCATCAGCTAGAGTCATGGCTGATTATAAAATATATAGGCAGTTTTATTGGTCTATTTTCTACGTTCATGGCTGTTCTGAAAATGCCTGATACAAGCTGATTGATGCATGGGCTACTTTCTCACTGCTACATGGTTTGCATTACATATAATTCTAGAGTTGTTGACAGGGTGATTGGCTCTATGGTCTGCCATGATGCTTATGTTTGCAATAAATAAGAATTCCTAGGCTGGGCATGGTGGCTCACAATACCTGTAATCCGAGCACTTTGGGAGGCCGCTGCAGGAGGATTACTTGAGATCAGGAGTTCAAGACCAGCCTGGCCAACATAGGGAAACCCCATCTCTACTAAAAACACAAAAATGAGTCAGGTGTGGCAGTATGCGCCTGTAATCCCAGCTACTCAGGAGGAAGAGGCAGGAGAATCACTTGAACACAGGAGGCAGAGGTTGCAGTGAGCCGAGATCGCATCACTGCACTCCAGCCTGGGTGACAGAGCGAGACTGTGTCTCAAAAAAGAAAAAAAAAAAAAAAAAAAAGAATTTCTGCAGGACCTGAAGTTGATCTGGTAGCAGATTCAGCTATACTTCTGATAGAAGGTATTCACTTGCCTCTACCATTAGGACACTAGAATAAGTTTGAAAAGCACAGCCTCCATCACAGCCATGAAAATTTACTGGCTGAGAGATATATCAATAGTTAGTGAGTGGCTTCTTTCTATTAGCATTTAGCAAGTTCAAGACCTCCCTTTTTTCAAACTTCCATAGAGTATTGTTGAATCTCTCAGTCTCCATCTCTTCAGTTTCATTTCTCTTCTAAATCCACTTAACCCTGGATTCTGTCTACTTATTTCTGGAAACCACTGTTATCAAGCAAGAAACAAACAACAACAAAAACAAGAAACAAAGCCAAAGCCCTGGAATATCTTTGATTCCTTATCTTTCAGGTCTAATCACTCAGTGATAGTTCAGAGTGTTGACTATACTTTCATTCTTGAAATATTCTTTCCAAGCTCCACCGTAACATATCTTTTTGTTCCTCATCCTCACCCCGTGCCCCCACCTCTATCTTGCCATATATTATTTATTTTTACTTGGTGAACTATTTTTCTTCTCTACCTCTCTTAAACTGATGGGGTTCCCCAAGGCACCATCTTAGGTTCATCTCTCTTCTGATTCTACAACTTCACCCGTTTGAAGAGTTTAAATTATCATCCATATTTCCTCAATTTTAAATTAATGTCTTCATTCAAGATTTCTTGCTCAAGCTTCTAATCCATAGACTGAAAAATCTACACCTAAAGAACCAATCACACCCATCCTCTTTACATCACCTTTCTTTCTCCTGTGTTTCTCAATTCTACCAATATCACCAAGTTAAAAGTTGGAATGTTCTGAATTATTCTGTTGAACCCCCTACATCTGATTAATGACAAAGGCATAGCACTTCAAATGCTTAAAGATTCATTGCATCAGTCCATTTGTTTCCATTCCAATGGGTGTCACCCATATTTAGCCCCACCTGCAAATCTCCAGCTGAAATTACAGCAGCTTCCTCCAAGATCTTGTTGCCATCATACCTCTATACCTTCTATCTGTCCACCACATTGCAGTCAGAGCCAGCTTTCAAAGTACAAATCTCATCAAATCACTTGTCCACTGAAAACTCTGCCGTGGCTTACCATAGTACAGAATGAAGTCCAGGCTCTTTCCCTAGGGTCATTAAGGACCTATATGATTTGTGCCCATTTGTATCTGCCTCTGGCCTACATTGTACCACTCTGCCTCTAGCACGTTACGATACAGTCATAGTGAGCCTCTTTCAGTTCCTAGAAATTACTCATTTTGCTTCTGGCCTTTGTATGTTTACTCCAGAAATTTCCACAATTTCTACCATCCTTCCGTAGGCTAGCTAACACCTACTTCTTCTTCAGATCAAAACTCACAGGTTACTCCCTCCAGAAAACCATCCTTGAACATGGAAGAATGGTTAGCGAGATGCAATGTTGCTGGCTTTGAAGATGGAGGGGAACGTGAGCCAAGGACATGCGCAGGCTCTACAAGCTTGAAAATGAAAGAAAACCATTGTCCCCTGAAGCCTCCAGAGAGAAATGCAGCCTTATCAACATCTTGTCTTTATTTAGATCTGCGAAACACTACAGATCTGTAAATATAAATCTGTGCCGCTTTAAGCCAGCAATGTTGTGATAATTTGTTACAACAATAGGATTTGGGCCGGGCGCGGTGGCTCAAGCCTGTAATCCCAGCACTTTGGGAGGCCGAGACAGGCGGATCACGAGGTCAGGAGATCAAGACCTGGCTAACACGGTGAAACCCCGTCTCTACTAAAAAAAAAAAAAAAAAAAATACAAAAAACTAGCCGGGCGAGGTGGCGGGCGCCTGTAGTCCCAGCTACTCGGGAGGCTGAGGCAGGAGAATGGCGTGAACCCGGGAGGCGGAGCTTGCAGTGAGCTGAGATCCGGCCACTGCACTCCAGCCTGGGCGACAGAGCGAGACTCCGTCTCAAAGAAAACAAACAAACAAACAAAAAAATAGGATTTGTTTCAATACCTCACCCAATACAACAGCTAGTATAGCAGAAACTATACTGTAACTATATCCAGTAAAACTCTTGCCATATCTCCAATTAGACTGCAAGCTCTGTTAAGTTAGGATCATGTCTATTGATTCCCTTGTGGTATTACCAAGGACTAGCACACATAAGTGGTAAACAAAAAGAAATTCGTTGAATAATTGAGAAAAGGAAGTTGTAAAACAAAAGAAAAAGAAAAAGATAAAGGAGAAGGAGGAAGGAGAAAAAAAGAGAATGAGAGTGAGGAGAAAAAACTAAAGAAAAAAATGTTCATCTACAAGGTGACCAGAAATTACCAGCAGAACAAATATTCTGTACAAATATGTGCTGCCTCTATGTTTATGATATCCTTATTAATTATATAGCATCACTATTTGATGAAGGATTTAAGCAAGTTAATGCAGATACAGTTGTCACAATAAGAAACAAATTATCAGCGGTCCTTTACTTTGATTATATACTAATCAAAATCAGCATTAACCTTTGGATTCAGAACAAGTTAATATTAAAAATCAATCCCTAGTACAATTCTAAAGAATTTTGCTTCCTTAAGTCAGAATATGTACTAGTTATCTAGTTATTATAAATAAATATCTGTATATTATAGCTCATATAATATTTATAAAACCTGGACAGGTTTTCTATCTAATAAATGGAATATTCTTGGCATTCTATAAACAATTGCTTTAAATACTATTGAGTCTAAAACCTGCGATGACATAGTTTGGGTACAACATACAGAATGCTCAGTGAATTAAAGCCTCCTGTTACAAATGGACAAAAGAAAGTTAAATATCCTGTATGGCCCCATATTCAATGAAGTGGCTTGTATTTATGTTTATATGTTTCAGTGTGTGTGTTTGTGTTAAAGAGAGAAAGAATCACATGGCTTTGGAGTTTGAGTCCAAGGCTTTCAGCAGCATTCATGTTAGAGATTGTTTACTGCATTTACTACCAAATTACTTAGGGATAACAAAATACAAGCATTAGTTTCACGACAATAAAAATAAGTCTTGAAAAGTGAAAATATTTCAATTCACTAGTGGATTATTTTTTCAACAGTGATATTAAATGATTCATTTTACTGTTTTGTTTTTTTTTTAAACTCATGTATTTCATGAAATTGCTAACTTGTTTTGGTGCCACATAGACGTAAAGATACACAAAGGTCAATTAGCCACCTGAAAGTACAGCCGTTAATAATTTAGAAAAGAAATTTCAAACAATCTTTTAGTATGAGTAATTTTTAGATTAGAGTTTGCAGAAAAAAATGTACAGCTATTCTTCAATATTTATATAAAAGGAACATTTTAAATAAAAGTCAAATTCATTGGAGTTTTAACAATTTATAACATAAATGGTGCTGGTTGTGAAATGAATAAATATCCTAGCCTTCTCAATATTTTCCATTTTCATTATGTAGGTGTAAACTATCATCAATAAACTTTCAAGAAAAAAGAAAAAAACTGGCCACTAATTAAAAACTTTCTTTCCCTCTACAGGAAATTCTCTCTCATCTCAAGTATATAAAGAGTTGCTACAGTAGTGGCTTCTGATGCATTATGTTTGTACAGGCAAACAAAGTTTCATTAATTGGCCCCTGAACTTCAAATATTCCTGTCACATACATTCTATCTCATTGTGTTGTTTTTCTATGAGAAATCTGTTGTATCTTAGAAACAAGCAATGTTGCATAAAATTATGTGGCACAAATTTTTGTGGAAGATAGGGCACAAAGCACAGAATTTCTTGTTTGGTGTTTCTGTTTATGGTTATGCATTTCACCTACACTTACAAATGGACTTCCAGTTTGTGTGCAGAAATCCCATTAAAGGCTCTAGTGGATTACTTAAATCCATAATGGTGATTTAAGTTTGAAATGTGATCAGGTAAGCAATGCATTCAGACAAAAGAGTGTTGAAACCAACAGAATTAGCACTTCAACTGCTCATGAGAACAAATGGTCATCTGTGCTTAATTCTCCAATGTCAACACCAATTTCATTATTTCAATGATTATTCTGGCATTTTCCTTTGGTTCTTTGTTTTCTGCACATACAAATGCATAAGAAGTTAAGAAAAGTTGTGGGATATTTATCTAGGCAAGTAGTAAAATACACTATTGCATCAATTATTTGAATACTGCAGGCAAAAAATGCCCCCAGAATTCAATTAAACAATTAGTTGCTTTAATTTCCATTAAATTTTGCAGCTGAAAACAGAACTCATAATTAATATCACAAAAGCAGAATCAGTCTATGTAATTTGATTTTTGCCTTACACTAGTAAAATTTTAAAATGTTAAATTGCTTATAAGATAATGGCAAAAGACAATGATGTCAGTTAGATCTGTTTTGGATCATCTTTCCAAATCGGTGATTGCCTTCAAGCTCACTGAGATCCGGGCATGATAGCACAGGACAAACTTTGCCATTACCTACTCAAAAGAAGTTAGTGAATAAAATGCCTTTTATAACTGCAAAGATTATAAAACTATATAGAGAGGAACTTGATAGCTATAAAATAGTTCACATATTTCATTCATTTTGCAAACATTAATTGAGTACATGTTACATACCAGGCATTGTTCTAAATTTGAGGACATGTATTGAGGAATGGAGAGAGAGGGCGAGACCTGATGCAAATTCCTGTCCTTTGGACCTCACATTCTACACAAAGATCCAGAGATGTTCAGCTTGCCTGATGCTAAAGTGTGAAACGCACACTATACCTGTGAGCTGTCGCCGCCTACTCTTTGTGGCTTCACAGTTCGTGGAGCAGGCCGTAAACTTGGACCAAGCAGTGAAGGTGCAGTCTTCTCGACATGGGACCGTGCATTCTTGCACAAGGGGAGGCATGCCATTTGTCTGTTTGAGGCAATCCATCATTTCTGCCGACTGGTTGTCATCAGAGACACATGAGACAGCTGGAAAAAAGCATGGAATCTTTTGTTATTATTTTGATTAAATCACTCAGCTGCTGGTTCTTTGACAAGACAGCAGAATCCCCCAAGGTTTAAAAACTTGAGTTTCACGAATGGTGCAAATTGTGTTCAACATAGCTAACCTTATTTCTCCCTGGAAATTAAATTTTTATTGTTGCCATTGGAGATATTTGAGGATTTAATTGGTTTCATTATTAATCCAAACCCTGCATTGACAGCAACCAAAATAACTTCCAGTAATTTATTGTACTTCCTGCTCCTCAGCATCTAATCTCTAGAGATGATACAAAACTAAGAAAGGGAATCTATAAGAGTAAGATGAGGACACAAAAAGGACAAAACCACTTTAAAAAAATCATATAGACTCCTTTTATCATTTTTTCCAAGCACAAGCATGATCTATTCAGATCATTTCCACTGCAAATATCTTTTATTTTTTAATTTTTATTTTTCCATAAGTTTTTGGGGTACAGGTGGTATTCAGTTACATAAATTCTTTAGTGGAGATTTGTGAGAACCTGGTACACCCATCACCCAAGCAGTACACACTACACCCTATTTGTTGTCTTTTATCCCTCGCCCCCTCCCATTGTTCCCACCAAGTCCCCAAAGTCCATTGTATCATTCTTATGCCTTTGCATCCTCATAGCTTAGCTCCCACATATCAGTGAGAACATACGATGTTTGGTTTTCCATTTTTGAGTTACATCACTTAGAATAATGGCCTCTAATCTCATCCAGATCACTGCAAATGCTGTTAATTCATTCCTTTTTATGGCTGAGTAATATTCCATCATATATATATACACACACACACACTATGATCATATATATGTACATATGATCACAATATATATGTGTATATATACACATATGTGTATATATACATATGTGTGGGTGTGTGTATATATATATTCATTCTCAGAGTTTCTTTATCCACTCATTCATTGATGGGCATTTGGGTTGGTTCCATGATTTTGCTATTGTGACTTGTGCTGCTATAAACATGCGTGTGCCAGTATCTTTTTCGAATAATGACTTCTTTTCCTCTGGGTAGATACCGAGCAGTGGGATTGCTGGACCAAATGGTAATTCTACTTTTAGTTCTTTATAGCTTTTTTAGTCCTTTATAGCTTTTCAAAGTTTCTCACACACACTTTTTCAACTAGGAACTCTCTAGTCATTTCTTAAAATAATAATCTTGAGGTAACACATTTCTAAAATTTTGTTTAAATTTTTACTGAATTCTTTGGACTAATGCCATTTATTTTGTTTTATTTTATGAATGACTGCACAATATTTTGGTGCATCTTTTTCACTCTGGTTAATTATAGACTCTCAAAGAATATACATTTATATTCTCTAGATCAACATTTCTCAACCTTGGAACTATTGAAAATTTAGATTAGACAGTTTTTTGTGGGTGTGTAAATGGGTGTTGTGCGTGGTGAGATATGTAGCAGCATCTCTGGCCTCTACCCATGAGATGCTAGTAGCATACACCCCTCTTAACTGGTGACAATCAACACTCTCTCCAGGCATTGCCAAATGTTCCCTTGGGGTCAAAATTGCCCCAGTTGAAAACAACTCTTCTAATTCTTAACCATGGATGTATATGAGGATACACAGATTCCATGGTACCATTTCAGATCTGCCGTATCAAC